AACAAATCATAAAAAGTTTAAAGCAAGTAAATATGATATAATTTCCTATCTATTTACTAATGCTAGCAGGATAAGGATTAAAAATTGATGATTGAGAGAGTGAAGTTCCACTTTAATTCCTTTTAACCACTTGACAATCTTTTATTGCTACATTGTTAGCAATTTTCTGTCCCTAGTACAAGTTAAATACAAATGTAGCAAGATGTAAAGATCAAATAAATACATTATAAATATCTGCCTACAGAAGAAAATATATACAAAAATATCTTGCAGATGACTAGTGTCACATTCAGAACAATTCTTTGCTCTTTTTCAGGGTCAACATACAGTTCTAAAAAAAAATCAAAAAGAACAGAGTAAAATAATGTCTCTTACACTAGAAAAATTATGTATTCACTATTATTGTACTTTCATGAAATAGGAGAACTTAATCCCACTAGGTTTCATTACAAAAATGATTAAAAAAACAGCTAGACATGCAGCAGCTCACTAAATTAATAACATTTAACACTGGGTGAAACATTATTGGATGGCTATCTGTGTTGAGCTTTATGGCAGCTTTTCATATCACAGTGCAGTGTGTACCAAATCCTGTGTTTTCATACATTGAAGCACATTGCATTAGGAAGACTATTCATTTTGAATCGGCAGTCAAGGCACCTTAATGCATGGAAAAATAGGTCTAGAACGATTTTCAGCCTAAGGCGTTTATCTGAAAACTAATCCCAAGAGATTGCATTTGCATACTAAAAATGTGATTAGAGAAACTAAAAAAGCAACTAGACATGCTGTAGTTCAGGAAGTAAATCACATTCAACATTGGGAACAGCAATATTGAATGACTATGTTGTCCAATAGAGGAACTGGATTTAGAAGTCTCAAACCTTACAGCTTTAAACATCACAAAGGGAAATGCTGCAAAGCACATGTTTTCATGTATTGAAGAGCATTGCAATAGGCAGATAATTCATTTTGAATGGGCTGTCAAGGCATGTTAATACACAGGAAAATAGGTCCAGCATGATTCTCAGCATTAGACAATGCTTTGCACAGAGCATATCCATCTGTGTACTGCAGTTAGCTATAACACAGGTGCATTGTAGTGCCCTTCAGATGTGCTTTAGGGTGCAATTAGCTTGGCAATTGTAGTGTGTGCATGTTGTGATAACATGCATTATGTTATAAACATACCCTTAAGAGAACTTTCCCATGTTTCAAATGAAAACCGCAGCTGTGTTGTTAGGCATCATTTTCCTTAAAGTGCTAGTAAACTCTATTACAAAAAAGAGCTGTAGGTGGTTTAAGTCCGTGTTTGTCAACCTTTTTTCAGTCAAAGGCACCCTCTAAAACTATGGACAATCTCAAAGCACCATTGAAAATTTTCCACAATCTCAAGGCACCTCATTCTAAAATGGAAAAACTATTCTACTAGTTTTATATAATAAAGCAACATCCACACATAATACACCCAACGTTAGAGGTGATTTATTCTTCCAAAGCAAATATACTTTTGCATACTGGTACTGACTAGAATTCAAATATTTTGTTCTCAGTTTCTCGCCTTCACTCAGCTTATGTGACCTCAGTGCTGACTGAGAGGGACAAAAAAGGATTCTGTGCAGGAACCCAACATCCTCCTTATCAACTGATGACATCTTTGAGTGTTAGGATCAGGGGCGGACTGACCATTCAAGAACTCGGGCACTGCCCGAGGGCCCGGGATCAGTAGGGTGCCCCATGAAATGCCCCTGGTACCTTTTTTTATAGGCTTTTTTTGAGTGTGGGCAAGGATACAGGGGCCCCATGATCCCCTATTGCCTGGGGGCCCCATGAGTTGTCAGTCCACCCCTGATTACGATGTCAGCAGCTGGAAGGTCGTAAGAATGCACAATGAAAACTTCTGGCTTGGGCAGGCTTGATCCACCTGCTGGCTTGTATACAATTTTGGGGCAATTTTTAGGTATATTGCCAAGGCACCCTTGAAGAAGCCTGAAGTACCCCAGGGTGCCTGGGCACCCTGGCCAAAAAAGGCTGGTTTAGGCTATGACAAACTGCATGCTAGTGTAAAGCCCTGCTACAAGTGTAGATGCAGGATGTTAAAATGAACACAAGATGGCAGCATCCTGCAGAACAGTTCCATTCACACTCTAAAGAGCAGCCCCGAAACTTGTATGCTGAACCGCAGGACTTTACTAGGGAGCAGCATAGTAAAGAATTACATTTCCCAGAGGAGCTGACATGTGGGCAGAGGTATATATATATATATATATATATATATATATATATATATATATATTTATTTATTTATTACATACTTATGCAGCGCTTTACATTTATTTTGTACATTCACATCAGTCTTTAACCCTCAAAGGGTGTACAATCTAAGGTCCCTAACTTACATTCATACATACACTTACTAGGGCCACTTTAGACAGGACCCAATTAACCTACCAGCATGTCCTTGGAGTGTGAGAGGAAATCAGAGTACCTGGAAGAAACCCATGCAGGCACAGGGAGAACTTGCAACTTCCAGGCAGGTGGTGCCATGGTTGGGATTTGAACTAATGACCCTAGTACTGTATATATGTGAAAGCCCGGGAGATAAGACAGGAAGTGAGAGGGGAGAGATCTGGAGAGAGGAGTGCTCTGACTGCGAGAGGACTGGACCAGGCCATAGAAAGAGAGGAGGCAAGGAGACTCTGTTGATTGCTGGCCTTGCCGCATCATGGAGAAAACTAATCTGCTAGCAGGTGACCAGATGGAATTCTGCAGGTGGGACCGGAGAGTTTGTGGAGGCCTTATCAAAGGAGAGAGAAAGGCCCCCGAGAATTCGGCAGATGCTATCCCTTGGGTTAGAGAGATTCCCAAGCTTTGCCAAAGACAGGGAACAATGATGCTATAGAAAGTTAAAATCAAACAGGAACCACTAAAGGTTAAATGCATGTAATGCTAACACCAATTTACCCCTAAAGTGAAAGGTGGTGTCCTCAGGACCACAATCCACTGACTACAAAATATAAAGTGTTGAAAGGGATCCACACATAAAAAAAGGTCCCAAAGGAGGACAAAAACTGTAGCTTGAAACAGATAAATATGACAGTCTTTATTGAAAATATCAGATCTATCCAAAAATGGTTACCCCCTCACCCAATGCAATTAAAATAAATGACAACGTTGTCATAAACAGTAAAAAAAACAGCCCGAGCAACAGGCTTACCAACCACACATTCATGGACATGCATGTATACAATGACAAAATATAGAGCAAGATATTGTGGAGTTTCCCAATGCAAAATAATTATGGTAAGGTGGCTGCATGTGCACACTGCAAAAAGGAGAATATAAGAGGAATACTCCTATTTATATGAACAACTCCATGGCTGAATATGAATGAGTGGATTGCTAATGTCACTGTCCATGACATCCATCAATGCAGGAAAGGATCCATAATCAGTATAACATGCTGGTATAACATACTTGTATAGACTCCAGCTTACACAGGGACTCTGTCATTCACAGTATAATGGCTAATGTCATACTGTAACAGTAGTACAAGAGATAGCAATAGGAACAGTCCCCCTGTCAGCTGATACAATAGACAGGGTAAAGCACATATCATGCTATAAATGCTGGAATAGAGGTAGCAGCAAGACCAATTCCCCTGTGAGATTGTGATAAACAGGGCTAAAGCGGAAGCCAGAATAGAGATTGAACAGCAATAATATATACTCGCAGAGCAGCACAGAAGGCATCCATTCATGAAATGCAGGCTAATATGACTTGCCAGATATAAAATCTTCACAAAGCAGACACAGTCCCAAGACCAGCCCCCAATATAAGTACAGCCCAAGTTGGATATGATACTGCTCACCACACCAAGTATGATAATTTCGATTGGTTCAATCCTGGCCTTCCATATTGCATTGCCACTGTAAACATCCGTGTGTGGCTCCAACACTAACCTCAATGAGGATCAGGTAACCCATCTGAGATGCCTCATATGTGGCAGCATGTTGGATAAGCCACATGGTACAGATCAAGGCATGAGCATACTGACACTGTGACGTCAATGCGTTTCGCCCACTGAGTTATGTGGGCTTCTTCAGGATGCTGCAGCCATTGTATTGGAGGCTTATATAGAGGCCCGTATGCCACTCCCAGGTTCCTTCTCTTAAAACCGCAGCTTGCATGTCATTCATATCATCAAATCCCACTAGATGATGACGTGTATGTAAAATATAATTAACAAGTAATTTATTTTCAGGATTTCTCCTATTAACTATATAACAGGCACCCTTGCAGGCATTCCAATACATCCCCACCAAACACAAACTAGTGAACCCAATTACAATAACAATGGCATTTGTTAATTCTAGATACCTTAAAAATCAATCACTTAAATCCAAAGAAAATTATTTATTGAAGGGATAGAGATTCAAATAACCTCTGTCAGGCTGAAATGGGGCACAATCAGGGAGTACTCAAGTAATTATTTGATGGTATAGATAATAATGGAAGTAAGGAATAATAATGCACTTCAAGGCTCCAGGAAAACCTGTAGGCTCAAATCTGTATTGAGCCCTTTTGGTGCCAAAGAGCCCAGCCTATAAATCCACTCCTCTTTTCGTAGCAAGACTGAATCAAAGTCACCTCTGTGCAGGGACGGACTGACAACTCATGGGGCCCCTGTGTCCTCACCCACACTCAAAAAAAACCTATGAAAAGGTACCAGGGGCATCTCATGGGGCCCCCTACTGACCCTGGGCCCTTGGGCAGTGCCCAAGTTCCCAAGTGGTCAGTCCGCCCCTGCCTCTGCAATTAGAGAGATTCAATGCATAAATTGCCTTGACCTTATGTTACTTAGGTGATGAACTATGGTGTTTGGCAAAGTGTTGTGCAAATCGGGGTTATGTCATGTTTGTTATTGCCAATGCTGAAAAAAGGGGTTCACCGATACGGTCCCCCAGTTTGCATTTTGTTTTACCAATATAAGTCTTTTCGCAAGGACACTCAAGTGTCCCTGGGACACAGCGGATCACTGATCATTGTAAAGAGCGGATGACATCAGCTCTGTCATGTGATAAGCTGTGTCCAATCACAGCTGATCACATGTGAATAGGAAATGCCGGTTATCGGCAGTCCTCTGCTCCCGCTGACAGCTCGAGAGGAGAGCCGGTAATTACTTAGAGTGGACATCTACACTGATGATCACAGCCCTGATGATCAGTGTAGCCCCATCAGTGTCATCTGTCCGTGCCCATCAATGCCACATACCAGTGCTCATCAATGCCACATATCAGTGCCTACCAGTGCACATCATAGCTACATATCAGTGCCCATCAGAGCTGCCTTTCTGTGCTGCCTATCAGTGCCAGTCAGTATCGCCTATCAGTGCCAGTCAGTGCTATCAGTGCATGTCAGTGCCACCTAACAGTTCCAATCAGTGTCGCCTATTAGTACCAGTCACTGTCACCTATCAGTGCTGCCTATCAGTGCCATATATGAGTGCTGCCTTTCAGTGCCCATCAGTGATGCCTGTCAATGCCCACAAGTGAAGCCTGCCCATGCCCATCAGTGCCACCTATCAGTGCCTCCTCATCAGTTCCTTATTTCAGGCTATCTCCTTACCATCAGGTCCTGAGGGCCCAAAGTGAGCTACTCTACCAGTTTGATAGTTCTCACTGCTCATTGGGGATGTTAAAGCCACCTCCGGTTGAAGGTATTGGGTTTTCTGGACAGTAGGCCTGCTAACATTAACTGAGATTCTGTGATAAGTGTTGTTTCCTTTTTTTTTTTAAGTTGACATAAGTAGTAACTGACTCTGCACATGCCAATTCTGTTTATATTGCTACATTGAATATGTATAAATCTTTTACCAAGTCATCCCAATCAGTTGTCTACTTTTGTGATTTATCCAGTTAAAAGTATACTGTGGTGTCAGCAAGGGTTGGGCTTTCAGAGAGCGGTTCACAGCAACAGGGAGTCTGAAAATCATCCAGCAACTCCTAAGGGGGTAGTGCCTCACTAGTACATTATGATAGATGTATTCATCAAAGGAAGCCTTCTAGCACTCCTTTGTCAGCACTCGAGTGCTTCCACCTTCTCCCAGTCCTTCTGGGTTTTGTCTGTTCATCCTCTTGAATAGCTGGGTCACAGTGATGTCAATCCTGTACATGCATGTGGTAGTCAAATTGCCGCAACATAAATTGGGTACCATGCATATTTTCTGAGCTGCCCGTGCATGACAGGCAACATAGAGGAGGAAGCCCTTATGGCAGAAAAGATGAATAGGGTCTCTTTTTGTAAACCCTTGCCTGTCAGCACAAAGTGAGTCTAATATCACTTTAATTTATAATTATTCAGTATAGATATGATTTTGTTTCAATATACACTGCAACCTGTGAAAAGGCTATGACAGTCACGCAAAGGAACTGTATATAGGACTTAACTTGAAACAAATTAAGTTCTACTTTGAAGAGGTTAGTCGATGGAACAGGGGTTGTACAGGCCACGCCACAATACAAATACAAAGTTATAATCAAATCCCTTCTTACTGTGCTTCATTTTTCTGAACATAAATAAAACTCAGTAATGTAGAGCATACCAGATTCCGTATGAATTGACTGTATCTGGGATAGAGACCCATTAGGGAGTGACTGCTCTGTGTCAAACCTTTACTTCCCAGCAGCTATGAATCGTTTTGTATTATCATTTAGCCCATCTCTGGTGGTGGGCTCTGTGCCACTGAGTGTTATCCCTTGGCAGTAAAGGAATGAGGATGCATTGTAATGGGGAAGGTTCAAACTTTTCACTAGTGCCCATCTGTAGATATGCAAGGTAACTATCCACTATTTATTGGTTATTTAATTTCAAATACATGTAATATGTGTACAGGCCTATGTTTTCACACTCAGTATGCCTATATCATGAGTTTATTTTGTATAGCTGAAATTAACCCAGTACCGAAATGGTAACTCCAGTGTACTGTGCAAATTATTTATACTTGTTGCTTAAGCTAGTGTATGTGTGCACACCAGATTCACATATTTAAGTGCACAATAACACGTTTGTACTAGACCCATATGGGTTATGTTTTTTGGCAACTTTTAACTAACATGAAAGGAAAAGTGAAAGTCAATGCACAATAATGCAGCAGCCTTTTTTCCCTATCGTAGCCTGAGAGTCTCTCAAAGTGATGTACACCAGGATCAGATTTCAGCTATAACACGTACTAGAATGGAACAGAAGCTGTAGCTGGCTGGAAGGAGCCTTGTGGTTTTGCCCTTGTTCCATGGGCCAGCTGGATTGCAGAACAGCACAGATTTTGGTATCCTGGAGGCTCCAGCTTGGGATATGCACTCACATTTACATTTCCTTTCTGGGCTCTTATTATCTATTACTGGAGCTGCACACTGCCCTCATCCTCTAAACTCTTTTCTGCTGTCTGCCAGGCTCAGGGCAACCCTAGCGATCACTCTTCTTTCATTGATAACAAGTCTGAAATTGCTTTTTGCAAGTGTGTATGCATTCTGACTGGTGTATGCATTCATGTGATGAGTTTCTGTGCAATAATGTCTGCTCAAGGGACTTAACATTACATTAAAGACAGGAATTGGAACTAAAATGAACCAATCAGATTTCATAATTATTTCTGGGAGATTTAGTAGGTTGCTGTGGGGATACATCTAAAATTGTGTGCTATTTTTGTCTCTTCAGTTTCAATAAATCAGTCCTCCAGCTTCATATGGTAATATGCTCTCAAATGAAAATATCTATAGTCTAAACCTTTTTCTGTCTGTTATGTATAGAGTAAGGAAGGCTTAGAATGGGGACAGCAACAGGTTGATTGTGGTCTACTCATCAATCATGGTCAGTGAAAGTTTTGGAAGAATTTACCAGGCCTTGGTCTCCCTAAGGTTGAGAAAAATTGCTCAAGAGAATGCCGCATGAGAAACGAAAGTTCTCCTAGCATGAATGAGAGTTTACAAGATCACTTTAATTCTTATTCTTAAAAAGCAATACATATTTTTAAGGATTCAACATTTATTAGACAATACATTCAAAGAAATCCATGTTATGTTGTAAACATTCAAAATCAATTATCTGTGCAAAGTGTACCCATTAAAAAAAAATCATGGTGTATTTAAATATACCCACTAGGTGGCACTACAACAACAGAAAATATATTCAATTATCTCAGTACTACAGAACACAAAATGATGAAAATCAGATCACCTGTATCACTTTCCCATTTTAAACATGAAATTAGTTAGTCTGGCCACTTCATCATCTCCTTCTGCACAGCATTTTAATGTGTGATACACAGATGTCCAGTACACTAAAAACATGGCCATACAAACATTATTTGTTTAAGCATTTGGGTCTCCTACCATTGTGCTGCAGCTTTACATTTAAGAAAGCACATGGACACATTTTTTTTTACACTAGTATCTGCTAAGTGTGATCTCCTTATGAGATGCCTTTACTTGGTATAATAAAAGGGGTATAATTAGAGCAGAAAGCAACAATTAGCAATTCAACAATGATTTGAATGAATTTCTGCATGGCTGACTCCTAAATCAAGGTTGAACATCAAAGGAATGTTCTCATAGACATTAGATGATCCAGCCACAATTCAGTGTCTGTGAGGCAGTACATGACAGTTCCAAATAAGCATTCTCATGCAGCAAAATGGTTGGGCAGGATAGCAAATCTTGCCTGACTACTATTGCCACAAATACCTATGTACATGATTGTGAACATTTAAACAAGGATTTTGGCAAGTTTAAGAAATATTTTTTTTCTACATCTATTTTGTTATTCTAGGGCTGGCACACTACTCTTGGTCACTCCTACTAAAAGAAACAAAGGTAATGCATTTCCTCGATTAGTAAGCAGTGGGATAGATTTCTTAAAGCTGGTGCGCTCAGAATCTGGTACAGCTGTGCATGGTAGCCAATCAACGTCTAACTTCAGCTTAATCAACTAGGCTTTGGCAATACAACCTGGAAGCTGATTGGTTTCTATGTAGAGTTGCACCGGAGTTTGCACAGTCCAGCTTTGGTAAATAACCCCCAGTGTGTCTTAATGTAAATTAATTAACACCCAAGCTTTCAGAAATAGCACTATAGCCATTTTCAACTCTTATGAGGCTACTTTTGATTGGGCTGTGGTGTACAATTTTAAAAAATTAGATGGTCCAAAAATAAAAATACTTTTTTTTTTTTTAAAGCAGGTCATGTTTGATCCACACCTCAGTCCTATTACATTCCTTTTACAATATATTTTTCTAGTCAAGCATATTGATTGTTAAATAACTCACAAGATTGATCCAATGGTGACATCTGACAAACAGGTAGGACAGATGCTGGAAGACTACAAAGTCCTCAGACAGGTGGTCATAGCAAGTGGCTGACAACAGCAGGCAGATGATTAGGACAGGGGCATACAGAGTTCACATGCAGTCCAGACAATTTAAGAGGTGTAATCCAGAATGTAGTCAGACAGAAACCAAAGAAAACATTTGGCCAGTGCAGGCTATAAGTTCTGGCTATACTATAAAGTAGGTTAACAAGGCCAGGTGTATCCTGCAGCGTGGCTACCCTGCAGTGCCAGGAAATGTTCAGTAACTGATGGTGGAGAACCAGATCCAACAGATCCAAGTCTTTTGTGTATTTTCTGGAGATGAAATAGAACTAGCGATCAATGATAGCCAGGTGCAGCCATTATTGCATTGTTACATGTGTTTGGTTTTAGTTTGCAAGTTTTGTTTTACTTCGCTGGCTTAGTTTGCAGGTTGTACCAAAACCTTTGCATTTTCCCCCTAAATTTCTTTTTCAATGGATTTTAGACATGAGTGGTTGAGCCTGTGTGTAAATGCTGGCAATTTTCCCACAACAATGAGGCCCTAGTGCATCATACAGCCTCCCAAAGACATGAATAGCTGTATATGGTGGCGTTATTGTAAACCTGACTATATCACAAGGACATATGCACAAAATAGGACATTTTCTATGTTTTTGCATACACCTGTGCACTTTATTCATGTTTACAATAGCACCGCTTTATACCTGAGTACAGCAGTGCACAGCCATTCATGTCTCTAGGAGGCTGCATGTTGTACCTGGGCTGCCTAGGTGAAGGAAAGATGACAGCATTTACATACAACAAGCTCAGACACCCATGTGCAAGGGCCCTAAGCTGCCAGTTAAAAGACAGACTCTTTATAAGGAAAGGTTCATTTGTTGTATGTGCCACGTTTTGGCACAGCAGCCCATTTGTTTGAATGGGCTGTAGTACCTGCGGGAAACACAGAAAAAAAGATGCCTGAAACTTTTAAAAATCACAGCCTCACTAAAATCGCATGGTGCTTTAGCACCACATGGTTTCATGCACCCAAAAAGCTCTGCATTTCAGATGCATAGGGGTTCAATAAAGAATTAATGCCACCCACTCGCATTTGCTAGAGAGTTACACAGTTGCCAATGGGTGCAGGAACACGTGCATTTAAAATGCATTA